ACACACACACACACACACACACACACACACACACACACACACACACAGTTAACTAATTTATTTCAAGTTAAATGGCCAGTCCAGAGGGATTCTTTATCCTTCTATGGTGTTGCCTTTTTGCAATGCGTGTGCGTGTGTGTGTGTGCGTGTGTGTGCGTGTGTGTGTGTGTGTGTGTGTGTGCTCATGCATGTGTGCTTGCACTCAGAAAAGCATAGGGAGAAGTTTAGAAGGGTATTAACAATATTGCTAGAGTGGTTACCTCAGAAGAAAGAAGGAGAATAGGGGTGACTCATATGATGGATCTCAGCTTTACATATAAGCATACTTCTCAGAAACAATGAGCATACATTTAAAAACAGTGTAAGTACTTCTAAATTGTACAAAATACACAGGCAGTAGATAGTGTTAATAAAATTTTATATGCACATGGAAAAGCTTGCCCCCCACTTTGTGGTAGTGAGTGGGGATTAAATTATTGAATGTAGGCCGTGTGCTGGCAAGTACTCTACCACTGAGCTGTGCACTTTTTTTTTTTATAATTTATTTATCAATTATATATATATATATTGCTCTACACACATATACCCTGCACACCAGAAGAGGGCACCAGATCTTACTATAGACGGTGTGAGCTACTATGTGGTTGCTGGGAATTGAACTCAGGATCTCTGGAAGAGCAGCCAGTGCTCTTAACCTCTGAGTCATCTCTCCAGCCCTCTTTTTTTTTTTTTTTTTTTTTAAATCTTTTGAGGCAGGGTGTAGGTTACCCAAGTTAGCCTTGAACTTGTGATCCTCCTACTCCAGCCTCCTAAGTAGCTAGGGCTGTGGGCCTGCACCATTAGGTCTGCATCTTGTAGCTTTTATAAAGTGCAGATGATATATATATATATTCATGAGTTTCCTGTCATGAAATTTATCTTTGCATACAGTCTACCAATATAGAGTCAGTTCTAAAGAAGACAAAAGTTCAATTCAGCATACAATTAAGAGTAGTTTTTCTACATTCAGAATTATCAAGTAGTGCTTTTCAAAGAAATTATGTCAGATGACTACATTTGGGGCTGTTGTTTCCTTAGTGCCACTAGATGATTATAGCTAAGACAGCACTAGATTACACCGGTGCTTCCTAACTATGGGATCTGCATCCTTGAGTTCAACTGGCCTCAGATGGCTAGCCTAACTGTGCTGACAACTGGCCTCAGATGGCTAGCCTAACTGTGCTGACA